TGATGCAAATCTACCTTCGGCAAGTTGACACCAAGACCTTTCCGCATTATTTTTGTTTTTGTTTCCCTTGGTCTCCAATGTAATATCTTCCTTTCCCTTGATTCTTCGTTTCTAATGCTCTGTCTTAGACTAACTCCCAATGGCCTTCTCTACTCTGCTCTTGTGATGTTCCTCTTAAGGTTTTTTTTAATGGTTTGCAAGCGATAGGTGGCCCCGGTAGTACACAAGACTCGTACACCTTTGTTTTGGGACAAATTAGTGAGGATTCTAGCCTACAAAAGGGTACCATGACAATCCAATGCTTCCAAAAATTGCTGTCGGTTAATTTATTCTCCAATCTATAATGATCGACATTCTCTGTATCTGTGTGGTTTAATGAAAATTGAGGATTTTGATGGCATCTTTAAATTAATTTTTTATCTACCTACCTACTAAATTTATTTAGGGTATTACACATTTTAAGATCTACTTGATTGGTTGGGTCATTCATCTAGTTCAGGTACGTGTGTAGATATTTATGTGGACTCTAACGTCAGCGAATCGCAGGTGATTTAGGTTGCAACCGTCGATTTTAATTTCCCTAATTTTCCCAATTTACTTTTTTGAAAGAGTCTTCTAAAGCATCAGTGAAGAGTTTTTGCGATATCTATGCGGTCTCATTGGCGAACTCCCATACCAAGCGGAACTTTGTCAGTCTTAAGGTCTAGGTTGATTTTTAACTTGAAGTCGTGGTAACTTCTTGGTGGATCCGCAACACATGATGTAGGTATAAAGTTTTACATAGAAGTTCTTGACAGCTTGAATTAAGCTCTTTCTATCATTAACAATCCCTTTATCGGATGACAATTTCATATTAATATTTTTCTCAAATGTGCCTTTAATTTGTTCTGTTTCGTAGGACCTAATCGTAATGCCTTTACGAATCTCTTTCCGTGCTTTCTTGGTAATTTCTACATATTGAGGCGAGCTATCTTCTGCATTTCGTTTTTCGTCCCTTGAGTACATGCTTAGTCAAACAGTGCGAAATACAAATAGAGAATAAAATAAGATTAAAAAAAAATCCTCATTCAATAGCATGGTTAATTGCCTTGAAGACTATTTGAAAAATTACGTCATAAGCAGAACGCTTCCAGTTATTAAGCAATGTTCCATGCATAGACAGTTTAATAGGCTAAGGCTAAACCTTAATGAGATACTTATCCTCTGTTCCTTCATTTTTATTAAAAAACCGCATTAAAGAGTAAAACTAGTGTATAATGGCTCACAAACAAGCAGTTAGAAATTCGAGGAAATGGAAAAATGAAAATAGCTCGGTATGGACATTTTATACAGACTGTCTTTAAAAAATCCGCGTCCAATATTTAAATGTTATAACCATTGCTTCCAAACTAGTCGTTGTATGTAGAAACCATATCAATCAAAGTCCAGTTCTACTTATTTAAAGACCCTTCAATTAAGCATCAGGTGAAGTGCAGCTAAGGTTCAATCAATTATCCCAATATTTGACTGTTTTCCGAGTTGAAGTAAGTTTGAAAATGTATTGTTATTCGAAAATCACGGGTGTGGGTTGTAACTGAAAACCCATTAAGATTTTCTAATAAACCCCAAAAAGGCCTTTACAAATTCGATATTCAATCGCTGCATCCCACCAGAAGAACTAATGAATATGAAAAATACCTCTATCGCTTCATAGTGCTATAAAACCCATAAATTCAATCGAATTGAGAATTCCCACTGGCGTATCATAAATAATAGTGACACTATTTACACATCATAATATCAAAACCATATTGCTAATAATTTCATTCAAGATTTCGACACATGATTATTTAAACATGTCTGTGCGCTACCCGAAATAGAGTGTGGATGGACCGATGGATCTGTTTATTTACTCGCTGTTTAATAAGAAATAAATATACAGTATATTGACTTGGGTTTACTATCACTGATTCAGGAGAGAATGAATTTCCAACGAAATTAAATATGCTCAATCCCAACACTTGAGTGTACAGAAAAATTACTCCTTTGGCGCATTTAAAAGCAAATTTATACACATGAATGCTTAAATTTCATGGGATAAAAATATTTGATGCAATTTAGCAAAAATAGTTCAGGTCCAGCTCAGTTTCAAGGAATTTGTTACTTGGATAATTCTAACAGGTGTACACATTCCAATTTCTATCCCACCTACTAAAAATTTTAATCAAGCCAAAATTGACTATTTTGCACTAAGCTCTAAAAATACTGAAAGTTTTTAAAAAATTGACAGGAATTTGAATTTGTGCCAGATTATTATAGTACATATCGGTCTTAAAACGGGTGTTTTAGTCAACTGCGGTAAATTCTTTAAAAATTCTCCAGAAAACACCTACATCATTTTCAACATGCTGGAAGTTTGATAAAAATTACACAAAATACTGATTTTTGTTAGCTTGGTAAATATGAGACTCAAAATAAATATTAACTATGAGACTCAAACCTTATTCAACTGCGCGCTTTCGTTTAAAAATCCGCCGCTTCCGAATTAAAGCAAATCGCGTTTTGAAATTATCACTATTCTGGGAGGGCACGTGGCTCTAAACTTACTGAAAGTTTCATAAAATTCCCCACGAATTCAATTTAAAAAAAATAAAAATTGTTACTCCCAAACTAAAGGTAACCAATTTCCACATATTTAGCTGCAGTCCACTGTTCGCTTGTCTTTGTCGATGTTTCGGCATTATTATCTAGACACAGGTATAATAATTTCAATAATAGTTTCAATGGATTTCCAAGTTCCCAATAAATAATTTCTTCAACTTCAAATGTTCTTCCTTCCTGTCTTATTTTTTTTGTTTTGTCTCATCCGTAATCATAACCACAAAAGAATGTGTTTGTCAGTGATTTGGGATTTGCCGTTCCACTACTAAAACTTGCAATAACCACAAATGCTTTAACCACAAAAAGTAAACCGTGAAAATGAGGTTAAAAGTTAAATAGTTTTCAACTTTACACTACGCATCTGTTAAATATCTGACCTACAGAAATGCATAGGACTTCGGATTAACCCTATATTTTGAAATAAAAAAGTAGTCCAAATAAGCAGAGGAATAAATAGGATTGTTATTAATACGCTACACATGTACCTATGTCTTTATTTGGTGACAAATTTGATAAAATGTTGACATAAAAATAAAACTGAAAAATTCTCTAAAAACGTAATTATAGAAATAGAATTCGAATTGAAAAGAACCCAAAGCAGAAGGAAAATTAGAATTCATCTTTATACTGAAAGGACCAAGCAAGTGTATCAAAAGGCAATTTAATATAATCGACGTCACTTTTATAAAAATTAATTAAACAATTAAATAACTTATACTTGCATCTCTGGTACAGTATAGCCTGTTTCAACTTCCAAGTAGGTTATGTTTTACGTTATGTTAACATTATGCATTGTGTGCATATTCCGCTAATTCTCCATTGATTTCAGTTTAAATTAAATATGTCGGTATAAATAAATACCGGTAAATATAAATAAATATTAAATAAAAAATAAAAATTCAAAATATAATCTGCTATCTCGGTAATTAAAAGTCAATGAAATTCAAATTTCGTAATAAATGAGCAGACTGAACTTAAGTTGGTTCTAAATCCATCAGGGCTTACAAATGTTAAGCATCTTACAAGAAAATTTATAAAATTATTTTCGAATTTCTGTTAACTGTCTGCGTGAAAAGTTTAAGTCGTGTGATTTAGGACCGGTACCATCAGTCACATCTTAATTAGGCATCCTAAAAATGTCTGTGATCTTGGTGTATTATGTTTGAAGTGTGGCCTTATTTTTAGAAACGGTTAGTTGGCTTCTGAAGAAAGAATGCGATGAAGATTGAAACAAATAGATAAATTATACGCTAACTTGAAATACAAGATAACACGTTCGAATGCAATTTTTTTCAGAGATAATTGTTGTTGTGATAGAGTCTGCTGAACAACCCGAAGAAAAATGTATTTATCCGATAAGGAAGTGGGAAAACGTTTGGCCATATTATTTAATTAGCGCATAACAGTATTCTATAGAACACTTTCAACCAGAAGAAATTATGTAATTTAACCATAATTTTATTTATTGGCACTCAAGCACGAAATTAAAGTGGCGTGTTTGCGATGTATTTGCCCAGGAAAAAATAACATGTAATTAGTCGGCGATCCGAGATGCGCGATAATTATGAAATTTAATTAATCGGACTGACTTTTAGCCAATATATGTTCTAAAACAACACAACTTGAGGAGTAGGTAATCTAGGAAAAGTAGTTGCCGCAGACTTGCAAATGAAACACTCTGCGGGAGAAATTTAGATGACAATTGCTTGCGTAAAATCGGATAAACTGTGCTATTGACTATTATCAAAGCGGCTTTTGGTCAGGAGTCCAACTGAAACGAACAATCGCCTTTAACCAAAGACTGATAGCAGCACAAAAAGATTTATTACCTGAGCATAATCCAAAGGTATACGGTTCCTAAATGCCATGAATGAATGAAACATGAATCCAGCTTGACCCAAATTCCGGTAAAATTAAAAGAATAGGAATCACCCAAGATTGCGCAAACTTTCTAAAGGTGAGACAACTTGGATATCTATATGTGAAGCCAAACTTTTTGTTCTCTTGCAGTTTTACCTGAGTTACATAGGAAAATGCTAAATTCCTTTATTTGGGCCAAGGTGATATTTCTTACCATTTCGTTCAGTTTGACACGCTTTTTCAATTGTCATTTCTAGCAGGCATTGATCATTCACTACCTGGAAGCGTATTTTTAGCATATTATGCAATCAAAAAAAGAATTCGGAAACATTGTTCCGAGTATACCTTTATCATATTCATGAAAGTTAAACCAATACCTAACGAAAAACCTGAGCTTTGCTAGACCAGCTGAATCGCTTAAAAAACTTTATCCGGTCGTCAAAAACACCATTTTTAAGGTGATTAACAAAACGTCTTCATAAACCAAAAAAGCTGTTGGTAGGTTACACCCTTACCAGCAGCTGTCTGAATGACGGATAGATCTGATATGTCGTTGATAAATGATGGTTCTTAAGCGGGCCTATCAGAACAACTTTCGGCCAACTGTTGCAGCCATCAGGCCTCTAAACTATTAAATTACTGGACCCTGTATTATTCAAAGACTAGAAGTTGATGAGCTTTTAATGTCTTCATTTTTAGTTGTCGGCGAGCTCTACGATTCAACTGATGGGGACTTAGTGTCAAAAGGAAATTGGTTTTGTAATTAAAATCAACGAAAGCTACTGTTCAAATTTTAAATATATGACTCTACAAGATTAGTGGTAGGCGGTTTGTTTGAATATTCACACATTTTAAATCATTAGGAAAAGGTTTAATATTTAAAATACGCCGATTAAAATGATCAAAGTGTATGCTTTGCTATGATGCTACAGCAAATTCCGACTGTGAATTCAAAAGCTAAAATTTTATAAATGCATTGAGAATAATTGTACGTATCCCAAATTGCTGTTAATATTAATACAGCAAATTGGTTCAACTGACATTAAAGTTTTGGTTTAGTACCTTTTTAGCACCTAAAGATTTATTCAAATTTTGCATATTTGCTGACTAAGAAACGCTTAAAAACAAAAGGTCAGTTTTACCATGTTGTTGCGTCGAGTAGTAGAATGAACACCACGTGCGAAGAATCACGGCAACATCGCGATAAAATACTTAGGACCCTGAAGATCAATTTTCCCTAGGGTCGTAAGAAATAGCGAGAGCTGTAAAAAATATTTTTACTAAATTCATCCAGGAACATGCTTAATTACTTTAACAAGAGCTAATTGATGTTTTCTCTTCACGAATCAAGAGTTCAATTTCCAACTATTTTTTGCTGCATATTATATTTGCACATGAAACCAAATCAACAAAATCTAGTTAGTGCTGATTTTATACATCAAGAATAAGGAAAAACGCATAATGGTTCAGGCATAAGTTGCTCAACTAGGGACCAACAAGGGCCTCGTTTATCGACAGAATAAGGCGTTCTGCGGTAGGTCTTTTGACCAGAAGAAGAGAGAGTTGTATAACTTTCATTTCTAAGAAATTTGCTTACTTCCCTTTTCTTAAGCGTTTTGTTAACTTGTTTAGACTTCAGACTCTTCAGACCCCCTTTCTTAGTTTCAAGCAGCTGTTTACTGTGCTGTTGGCTAAGGTACATGATCATTGTGAAAAATCCTGAACATTTTCTATTTTAAAGTCGTTTTTGTCTCAAGACTGTAATACAAAATCATTGTAATTGTAAAAGTAAGGTTCCTGTAATCAAGTTGTAATTGTACCACAATTGTAAAATAAATAAAATAAACGAAATTGAACTTCGACTGTTAATAAATATATTTAGAAATAATAATAAATATATCTGTTTAGAAAATGATAAACGACAGTGAATTGAAAGTTGAAACACCCTCAAATGTTATATAAAAACAGAAGCCACTACAAACCTACTACATACCTACAAAACGGTATAAAGATGCTTATTAGAAGTACATGGATTGGAGATTGGAAAATTATATTATTAGATCATTTTCGAAGAAAGTATTGTCAGCTCACTTCCAATCAGAAAACGACTGTCAAGAAAGTCTGATGGATTTGAAAGCAAGAAGTCGAAGATCTTGATCAGTAAATAACATTAAAATATTTCTGGAAAATACATCATACGGTTTAGGTACCCCATTGAGTAAAAATATATGTATTTACTATTTTCAGTCGTCTTACACTTGGAATTAGCGAGAACATTAAACCTCTATATATAGAAGACACTAGAAAATATTTGATCATTAATATTCCTGAATTTGAATCTAAAAACACAACGTTTTTTCGTTGTCGCGGAACCTTTTTACCCTACAATCACAAAGTATATGCTAATTCCTTCTAACGCAAAGAATGCTTTTAATTAATTACTTTAATTAAATTTACCGTTTTGCTTCAAAATTATATTAACGGAAAATGTACCTGAGAGTGCGTGAGTTGGTATAAATAAATTATAAACTGAATATATCAAAGCAAATAGCTATACTAAAATTGTAGAATGTAAAAGAAGGTTCCGGACAAGTTCAATTTACAATAACACCTTGACACATCATGCGTTATACACCAAAATCAGAAGTGTTTTGAATCATCTCTTGTTCCGGGTTTCATTCTTTGAGAGTTTTGAGACCCCCTGTATAGATATACGTCCCACAAGCAAGTTTCTAAGAAGTATTTGTGCTCGTAGCTTATTAACTTATAATTATGTTTTAGGGAAAATATTTCTTAATTTAAGTCCTGATAGAATCCGCCTTCCAATTTATTTAAAAGATAGCTGATAGAGACTCATGCACGCAATGTGCGTGTAACTGTTAATTGTATAATAATATAGAAGGTGCGCTGCCATCAGCCATACTTCCGGAACATTGTTTTGGGGCAATGTTGGGAACTGAAATTTTGGCCCCTCCTAGAAAAGTTATACTGAAAAACAGCCGAGCATGGTGAAAGCATTTGACACAATTCAAGAACTAACTCGTTAACGTTAAAATAAAACTATTGTACTTATTGTATTATAGCCAATTAGTGGCAATTTCACATTTTTCCATCTTTCACTCCAAATTAACAAAGAAATGCGCTTAAATATCTATCAAATACGTCGCTATAAATAATTAAAAAAGTAATTAATTCTAACCCCAAAATAATTTTCGTTTTCAGAGCCATAGCTGGAAATATTGTTTTGCGGTTTGGTAACGTTCAACCGATCCGAACAATTAATTCATTGGTAAATGGATATCGGCCATGAATGATTTATCGCTGAATTCGCGACTATTATGTTTGAATTATAATTTTAATACCCGTGGTGTTAGGGCATTAACATTTACTTTTTCATGATGGCAATAGAGATGGAGATAACAACCAGTAATTATTTATTAGCATTTATTATTTTTACGAGGCAACGCCAACATATGTTGCAATAATAGTAATAAGAAAACATTCGAACTGAGACTGAAACTTCCAGCTTAAACTCCGATTTAATTTACTTGTAACTTAAGAATGATTCCAGATTATTAGAAGAGCTTCTGCAAAGGTTTGATTTTTCATTATTATTCACACAAACGTTGCAATAAGTCAACGTACGCGAGTAGACAAAGGGCCGAAATAACAAATCGCCCCAATTAAGCAGCGATACATATATTATGTCAAAAAGCATGCGTGATTTCCTTACGAGATTTTTACCGCCGTAGTTTTGCTTGCTCGTTCTGACCCCTCCTCCACCCTTGTACCGTGCAGAGCTCAGGGTGAACCCACCTGATGGCAAAGACTGCCCTTTGACACGCAAAGCGCAGTAGCGTAGCATACAATTATTTCCAACAGAGGCAAAATGAACTTATTAACTCCAACCCCTCGAATAACAATTAACCTTAATCTAGCTCTATTATGCCTACATGTACTATTATGATATAAGTACGAGTTGTCTTCGATCCCTATCGGAGATCCCAACCCCAGTTATTTAATATAGTTTATTTAAGCGTCTATTAATATTCAAGAATATTAAGGCCAGACCAACAACCTAAACAAGTCTTTATTAAAGCGATAACTCACGATCCGCCAGACGCTACTCCAAGAAGAAAACTTGTTGAAAGCGCCAGTACGCCACTGAAAATGCTAATGTTGGGTATCATCGTCTTGCTAAGGTCGCATCATGCGAACATTCGGCCTCACAACCGAAAATATAATCTCATTATCTTAATTTTACCTTTGTAAAGTTATTATTTCAAATTGGATTTGCTTTGTTTCCCTTTGCCTCACGTTAAATTTACTGTCTGAGTTTGATCGATAGCGACGGTTTCGCTAACACGAAAATACTCCAATTTCCGACCAAAAGCAAATGGTTCAAATTCCTACTGTGGTTTTGCTGATTGATATATTGTGCACTTTTACTAATTATATGCGAAAAAAATGTATTAGAAATAAATGAATTTTTAATTAATTTTAATAATTATTAATCAAACTTCGATCACTAGATCAGAGGAAACCAACTAAGTACTTGGAAATATTTTGCAATAACGTTTGAACAGTTAGATGACCTAAGATTATGTTTACTTAGTCAGACTATGTTTACTAATGTTTAGGTTAAGAATTGGCCGAGTGAATAGTTTAGGGGTTAATAATCTACATTCGGCGATCAATTTGAGCCGGCTGTTTATTAGAAATTAACTCAAAATAACATTTTCTAATGGGGCGATGCCTCAAATCAACATTTGGCAAATGTCACGAACAAGCTGAAAATTATTAGCGATCATCCCCGATTTAAATACTCCTACATAACCTTTAAACCATGTTTGAAAATTACACCAAGATGTGCTGTGATCTTGGCCTTAAACAAGGCAAAAAAACCTGACTTTTCTTTTACTGCAAGAGCAATATTTCTAAATGTGTAGTGAATATTTGCAATGCCTGTCAAAATATCAAAAAACCACAGAATTATAATAATTTTAAATATGTGTTTTTCGCATGCCAGATGATAAAAGCATAAATGCTGAAAAATAAGCAAAAAACGTCAAGAAAATAATTTCGCTTGTGCTTTGACTTCCTAAACAAACCCAAAATTAATAACAATGCATTATTGTGGTGGTAATCTTTAACTGTTCCTAGATCTATATGAATCATAAGTTGAGGAGTTTGAATGACCATTTGGACATTAAGAATTTTCCATTAGTTCCTGGAGGAACATGTTCACGTTAGTTAGTTACTAAATTATGCGACGAAAAGTTTGAAAATTCCTCTAACAAGAGAAGAAATTTGACATAGTTTAAATTCAGATCTCAGATTTGACAGATTACTTTACAAGTTCCGTTTTTTAAGTTATTTGTTAAAACGCGCTTCAACTTAGATAATTTCCCAGTAAATCTAAAACTTCTTTTCTTTAGATTATTGTCCATAAAGCAACATGGTGTTGCCAGTTTTAACAACATTTATTGCAGATGCTGTTCCTTCTGATAAACTCTGAACAACTGGTGTTAAATTATCTAATATCCTTCAATACTATTTTTAATATCCTGCAATAACAAATCTCCTATAAAATAGCATATTCAATCATTTTATTAAGGACCTCTGATGACAACTGTTTATAATTTCTCGCCAGTTCGTTTATTCTAGAATAAAGAATTCAAATTAACTTTGGGACATTTTCAATCCTACGAAAGTCTTTCAGGATATCCAATAATTATCTTTTTCTGGAAGTTGCTTACTATGAAAAATATAAAAATAAGTTGCTCAAAAATAGATGTCTAATATCCTTAAAGTCCAGTACATT